AATATACTCCAAGGAAACAGGAGTACATGTATGAATGCCTGTACAAAGGGATTCATAGAAGGATAAAATTTTTGGAAACAATTCAAGTACCCAATAATAAGGGAACAGTTACCCTAATTTTATGGAATAACACATAGTTCTTTCAATATGTAAAAATATTTACATAAAAAATAAGTGAATAAAACAGAACACAAGTTAATATGTACACTCTACATATGTGCATGAAAATGTACCTATGTGCACTAACAGATTAGAAAAGAATTAGCACTATATAAAGATTTGAGTTTAATATTTATAAAGTTATTAAGTTCCCAAAGTTGTTTAATCTCATAACTTAAAAAAATAAAAAGACATTAGGGAACTGAAATATATGAAATAATGAGTGTTTGAGGTGAAGTAGAGAATCCAACTTACATAACATATAAGTAAACACATCTGATGAAAAAATAACTTTGGTTATTTCCCTTGGTGGAGTTAAAGCTATCATTCAATGTATGCTTAAACCAATTTTGTTATTGTGAAATGGATGCAATAATAGAATTTTGAAGTCACTCATTTGATAAGCCATCAAATCATACTTTTCTTGACTTTCCCAGGGAAATCTATCCTGTTTCTCCTGTACTCTGTACATAACACCACTGTTATAGCATTTATAAGATTGTACTATAATTATTTGATTATATGTCTATGCCTCTTACAGCATCTAGTCCAGTGCTTGGTACATAATAAGTGAGCAATAGATCCTTATGAAAGAGTGAATGAAGGACCATATTTGAAAAATAAATGTAGTTTGTTACTTGAGTCTCTGAAATGTTTGATAATTCATTAAACCTAACATCCATCAGTCCTTATTTCTTTTGACTAGGAAATAATAATGTAGTAAGAGGCCCCAAAATGGAGTGTACACTTTGAAAAGTAATCAGTAAGGAGTTCGCTTCTGTTTGTTGGAGAGGTCTGATGTGATGCAGGTAGATTCCAGGAATGATGGCCCAGATCTTGAAAGTTATCTATATCCTAGTAAGATTGTTGTGAGTTTTGAACAAGGATGTGAAAAAGCAAAGGGTAAAATTAGCCTATCCACTCCTGTGTGAGAGTCAGAGAGAATCAGGTCAAAGGTACCAATAGGACTTGCATGAATCCCAAACTATAGAAACTTCTTAGAGGGGCAAAGAAGGTGACTACAAGATCAACTAATACTTAGGGAGTAAGATTTGGGCTACATAGAGAAATATCTTCCTTATATCAAGGGATTTAATACTAATGGACTGGTATCTGGAGACTAGGAGCACATTATAGCCTGAGGCTGGAAAGAATGGTCAAGGAGATTTTTAAAAAACCACACACAACAGGAAGCAGGTTCTGAGAAAAACTGAGGTACCCATACCACCTAGTTAAGTATCAACCCAAATCAATCTCAGAAGTTTCAGAGTCTTAACTTGGCATTTACCTCAGAAAGGGTTGAGTAAGGGGAGGGAACTGAGTGCTCAGAATTTTATAATATTCAAGCTAATTTGTGGGTAGATTTTAGAAGTCAATTAGGATATGAGACCTGTACTCAATAAACTTTTTAATTTCTATGTGTTTTTATTTTTAGTTTTCCATTTTTTTTGGTAAAATTTCTTTGGAAGATTCTAACCTTGCACTTCAATATTATGACTAGGATGGAAGAGAAGGGAAATCCATATATTCCTAAAGCCAGATGTAATGTTAATAGCTCTGGGAGTTCAGGCCTTGCTGGCATAAAATATGTATGCCTAGGAGACAGATAAAAGTCAGCTCTGACTTGTTGGTCCTTCCCTCTATGGCTGATTCCCTCTCATTTAGATTACTACTGAGATCTATATTACTATAGAAATTGAGTGTCTGGAGTAGGTATTAGTAAAAAGAGAAGGAGGATGGTTTTGAGCTGGACAAGATTTGGCTTGGCTGTAATTACTAACAGACAATTTTTGGTGAAGAAAAAAGAGTATACACACAAACACAAACATATACACAAACTAGGCTTTGGATTGGTAAGTGGCAATCCATTAAGATACAATCTTTACTTACACATTTACTCCTTTGTGGCTTGATTTAACATTGTATTAATTTGCCATTGGTGCTAAAACAAATTACCACAAACTTAGTGGCTTAAAACAGCACAGTTTTATATTCATAGTTCCGGAGGTCAGAAGTCCAAAATGAGCCTTTGGCTATTATGAGGTAAAAATCAAAACCAAGGTGTTAGCAGGGCTCATTCCTTCTGGAGGCTCCAGGGGGAAATTCCTTCTTGCCTCTTCCAATTACTAGAGGATAATGCTAATAGTCTTAACCACTCCAATCTCTTGCTTCTGTGATCACATCACTTACTTCTTCTATACGTTGATCTCCCTCTGGCTCCCTCTTATAAGGACACTAGTGATTATATTTAGGGTAATCCAGAATAATCTTCTCCATCTCAGTCTCCTTAATTTAGTCACACCTGCAAAGTCCCTTTTGCCATGTAAGATAAGGTTCACAGGTTTAAGGAATTAGGGTTTAGATATCTTTGGGGGGCCTTCCACAGTCTACCAGCCTTCCACTGGCCCCTAAAGATTCACATCCCTTCCCCATGCAAAGTATATTTATCGCTTCCCAATATCCCCTAAACTCTCAACAGATTACTGCATCAACTCAAGTCCAAAATCTCTTCTAAATATCATTAGCCCCAAAGTCCTGAATCTCATCATCTAAATCAGGTATAAGTGAGAATCTGGGTATGATCCACACTGAGGCAAAATTCCTCTCCATCCGTGGACCTTTCAACTAGAAAATAAGTCACCTGCATTCAAAATACAGGTGTAGAATATAAATTATAGACATTCTCATTTTGAAAAAGAGAAAATGGAAGTAAGAAAGGAATCAGGACCCCATGCAATTTTGACTGGGCAAACTCCATTAGGTTTCAAGGAGTAGTAGTAATCTTCTGTGGCTTGAGGCTCTGCCCTCTAGGCCCAAGGCACCTCCCTTGAAGTCATCCTTTCTTTTTCTTGAAGGGGTAGCACTTGTTTACAGCTGGATAGTTTTATTACTGCTTCCTGACTGTAGAATTTTAGGAGTCCAACACCCTTCTTTCATCTTGTCCTCCCTCTGTTCCTTTCATTCCACGCTGGCAGTGTTTCCATTAGTAAAACATTCTAAAAAACATTGTAGGTCTTGCATATACATCATGGGGGTTCAAGCCATTAGACAAGAGGGTCCTCCCTAAGATCTTTCCTGGATAATCCCATCTCTGTTCCTAGGAGAATTCTGCTGAGATGGTTGAGGGAATTTGTTTGTCATAGGCCTAACCTCTTCAAAAAGTCCTCTGTGTGAATGAATACTCTGATTTTTTTATCTTTCCAAAACCCTAGCAAAAGGTTTTCCAGCCATACCCTTGACCATTTTTCCAGAGCATGCTTTCCTGACAGCAAGTCTCCTAATTTTATCATCTTTTCCAATCTAGATAGGTTGAAAATTTTATCAAGTCCTGGTTGTAATTTTTTGCTTTACTGTTTTTCCCTCAATTTATCTCTTTCTTCTTGAATTTTACTATAAGCAGCAAGAAAAATCAGGCCATGATTTCAACACATTGCTTGAAAACCACCTCAGCTAAATATCCAAGTTCATCATTTATTGTTCTGTTTTTCACATAACTATAGGACATAATTCAGCTAAGTTTTCTGTCACTCTATAACGAGGATCCTTTTCTTTAAGTTTCCAATAACATGTTCCTCATTTCCTTCTGAACCCTTACCAGCAATGCCTTTATAACAGTTTATTTAAGGCAATCTAGACTTTTTCTGCTCATGTTACCCCAAATTCTTCCTGCCTTTATCCATTACCCAATTCAAAAGCCACTTGTACAGTTTCAGATATTCATTATAGCATCATCCCACTTCCCAGTACCAAAATCTTTAACACTTCCCTATTTCTGCTGTAACAAATTACCACAAACTTAAGGGGCTTAAAACAACACATATTTATTCTCTTACAGTTCTGGAGGTCTGAAGTTCAAATGAGTCTATAGGACCAAAACAAAATCAAAGTGTCAACAGGATTGGTTTCTTCTGGAAGCTCCAGGGCAGAAGCTGTTCCTTGCCAATTTCAATCTCTAGAGGCTATGGGTATTCCTTGGAAAACTTTGGCTCACAGCTACATCACTCTGATCTCTTGTTTTTGTTGTAACATCTCCTACTTCTATAGTCTCACCTCCCTCTGCCTTCCTTTTTAAAGGACACTTGAGATTACATTTAAGGTCTACCTGGATAATACAGAATCCTCCTCCTCATCTCAAGCCCCTTAATTTAATCATACTTGCAAAGTCTCTTTTGCCACATAAGGTAATCTTCACAGTTTCCAAGAATTAGGATCTGGGTATATTTGGGGGCCATTATTCAGCCTTCCAAGAGTAGTTTAAAAATTCTGCATATCTTTTTTTAAGTTAATAGTGTAGTAATTTGTTTAATGTGAACTTTGTAATAAGTTGTATAAACTTGTAATTTGTAGTAATTTGTTTAATGTGTCCATCACTAAGCTTAATATATAAATTAAATAAAAATAAGTACTAATTAAAAATAAGTATTATATTAAGAAGTAGAATTTTTTTTTATTGTCAGCCAATTCATTACATGACAAAGTATAAAAGACCTAAAAACAAGTTCTTTGGCTACTACTCTCCATAAAGTTAGCATGTATTCAACACTGATATATAGTTCCCTAGAAAGGGAAGAACATGTTAGTTAAGCACACACTTGGAATGAAGATACAATATTGCCTGGTAACAGTCACACCCTATATACCAAAGAGTTCATAAAACACAGCTAAAATGATCAAGCCTACTCAGTATATATAGCGTTAGAAACTTAGATTCTAGAGACTCTAAATTCCTTCTAAGATCCAGTTTAATAAAGCAATACAAGGTAAAGAAAAAATAAAAATGAAAGAACCCCCCGCTTGTTCAAATAATGCTTTGATTCTAGCAGGCTGGTCAATCTCCTTACCTAGGCTGGAATAAATGTGGCTGAGAATACGAGCTGGTTGTACTCTGATGGGGTACACCTCAGCAATGGTCTCCACATCAATTCCCTTGTCCTTTAAAATGGCCTTAATTTCTTCTGTCTCAGCTAGAATGGAAACTGTAAGAAAGAAAGAAGATGGGATCAACAGAAAATTTTATTTCAGTAAGAACTTAAAATCTCTCAAGTCACATAATTTTTTTGAAGGGAAGAAAAAGGATAAGAGAGGAAATTAATAATTATTGGAGAACCATGATGAAACAATTATCATGCTAGGTACATAATGATGTTATCTAAATGAAAAAGGAAAAAGATTTCACGACCAGAGAGTATCATATTCTGGTTTTGGTCAAGTATCTATGTGTTCCTAGAGAATGCCACACTCTCTTTATATCTGGGATTCCATATTTAAATATGGAAAAAACTTGGAAAATAAGGAAAAAATCCAACACACAGTATGCTATAATTCCTCAAAGCTATTTCATATCTTTACTCTTAAGACCACAGCTAGGATTATAAGGGTAGCAAAGAACACACTAATAAAAATTGATCTATAAAAATTATTTAGTTAATCTCTCCCCACCCACGGTGAAGGCCTGGGGTGGGGAGTGGGTGGGAGGTGGAAGAGGTTAATCGGGAAAAAAAGGGGACATCTGTAATATTTTCAACAATAAAGATAAATTTAAAAAAAAAAATGAATTGCCCTATAGCTAGAGAATGGTAGAAGGCAAGTAAATTGGAGATAAAGAATTGAGGTACCATAGTTGAACTTGTGTGTGGTTGTTTTGGTGAAGGGGGGTAGGGATAAATACTTTTCTAGACTCAGAGCCTGCCAAGCCTGCACAGCTCCATTTTGTCCCTCTTACATTCATGACTCTGTTATTTATTTATTTTTTAAAATATGTTTTTATTGATTTCAGAGAAAGGAAAGAAGAAGGAGAGAGAGAGATAGAAACATCAATGATGAGAGTCATTGGTCAGCTGCAGCCCGCAACCCGGGCATGTGCCCTGACCGGGAATCAAACCCCGATCTCCTGGATCCTAGGTGGACGCTCAACAGCTGAGCCATGCCCGGCCGGGCTTACATTCATCACTCTGAAGTGGTAATCATATTTATAAGGGAGGGGACCAGGCTGGCTCCCTGAATCTTCTGTTCACTCTCCCTCTATGAGACAGATATTTGACATTAAGTACCAGGGGCAAACAGGCATCTAATTCCTGTTCCTCTAGTGCTGGTATATGTGTTGAATTGGGTTAATAGGAAAATGAAGATACTACTTGGTTCATTCTAGCTTACAGGTATTCTTTATGGGTTTTGGGGGCAAAAACATAGTTAACAAAGAAGATGAGAACAGCATAGACAAAGGTTCAAGGGATCTCCTTTGCCATTATCTTTTGTGTATTTTTCTAGCTTGGGAACATCATGGTGTTCCACTGCTGTGGTCTGGGACAGGATATGCAGAATATTGTGATTAGAGAGGCCCCTGGATATAACATCATCTTGATTACTTTTTTTAAAAAAATATGTTTTTATTGATTTCAGAGAGAGAGGAAAGGAGAGGGAGAGAGAAAAACATCAATAAATGACAGAGTCATTGATCAGCTGCCTCCTGCATGCCCCCTACTGGGGATCAAAGACACAATGTGAGCATGTGCCCTGACCAGGAATCCTACCATGACCTGGTTCATAAGTAGACGCTCAACCGTTGAGCCTCACAAGTTGGCCTTGATTACTTCTTTGTGAAAAAATTTTATTGAATTTATTAGAAACATGAAAAGGACAAAGATTCTCCAGGGAAAATGTACAGAGGAGGAAAAATAATAGGCTGAGAAAAGTCCAGGGAAACACATGTGGTCATCCATTCATTCATTAATAAACATTTACTAAGCACATAAATGGATGAGGTACTATGCTTAGCACTAGGGATATAAAGATGAATAAATTACTCTCTCTGTTAGGAGGTTATAGTATAATGAAAGTGACACACACATAAATTGATTCTAAAATAGCCTGCTAGGTAAATAGAGGTATGCACAAAACATTATGAGACCACCCAAGAGTGATACCTATGAAGTATGGGATTGGTAGGAAGTACTTTCAGAAAGCACGTCCCAAAAGAGTTGATGTTTAAACTGAGTTTGAAGGAATGAATAAGTTAGCCAGGAGAAAGAAGGGACTAGGAATGGAAAAGCCATTTTAGGTAGAAACTCCAGAATGATCATAAAGCATAGAAATGGAAAAGAAGGTGGTTGTATTGGGGAAGGGGATCACAGTGGAACTACATGCACTTCAATACTGCTGTAGTATAAAGTACCTTGTACAGCGGCAAAAGGGGAAAAAAAGAATCTAGAAGGCAGACAACATGAAGGGCATATGTGTCACTTTAAGGATTTTTAAAAATTTTATTCTTGGGCAATGATTTTCAAACTGCATTTTATTGAGCCTCAGGGGTCTGCACAGGGCAATGCAGTTGGTAGCAGGAGTATAGGGGACAGAAGGAGAGGCAACTGAACAACACTCGGGGGCCCCAGGAATAGTTACAAACCCCAAAACTCAGTTTTTTGTTTATTTTATATTTTACAAAACATTTAGAAAATGCCGTTTTGGTACCACTTGCTAGGCACTGAAAAAAGCTAGGGATACAAAGATAGACATCATGATCTCTGGAGAAAATTACACTGACATTGTGTCCTGCTAGAGGGATTAATAGGACTTAATCTGATAAAGGTGAGGGTAAAAGTAAGGGAGAAATTGTTCCATACAGAAGAACCAGCATAGACAAAGGTTCAAGGGAAATAGAAAACAAGGCAGATCTAGGAATTATAAAAAGTTCTTTATGGGAGGGGCATGGAGTGTGAAAGGGCAATGGTGAGAAAAGATAGTGGGGATAGGGTCAGGGAACAGATCATAAAGAGCTTGGTAAGCCATGTTGAGGAGGTTGGCAATGGGAAGCCCCTGCAGAGTTGAATCAGGGTAATAACATATACAAATCTCAATCTTAAAAAGAACATGTTCACATTGATGATTACAGAATAAACTGATAGACTATAGTGGGTTTAGACTGAAGTCAGTGGGGCCACTTAAAAAGTTATTGCAGGGAGATTAAAAATGGAGGTGGACTGAGTGGAAGCTACACTGATACTATCCTGGGACCAACCTGGAATTACAACTAAAATATAGAAAAAACATCCTGAATAATCCACTGCAACTGAAGATGAGCTGGAGAGCACACTCATAACCAAGGACACAAAGTGGAGACAGCATAGAGACTGGTAGGAAGTGCAGAAGCACGAGAGGGCTGGGTGGGCTCCCACAGGCAGCACCTGAAGGTGCTGGAGGATATCTCAGCTTTGGGGGTTACCACTGAGGATTTTGGGGCCTAACCACAGACTGGGCTTCCCAGTCCAGAGCACCAGAACTGAGAAAGGTGCCCATATAACATCTGGCTGTGAAAAGCACCTGGGTTTCTATCTAGCAGGGAGAAGCATCTGGAAATGCAGGCACCCTCTTAAAGAGTCAATGCACAAAGTTTTATGTGTAGCCACGCATTTTGGGCTCCAGCAGAGGGAAGGCAGAGTGGACTGGAGCTGTGTGAGGAGAATCTAGGTTTGTGGGCTCTGAGATAGAGCTCAGAGGGCACCCCTCTGGGTTCCTATGCCAAGTCATTCCCCCAAACTGCAGAAGACATCTTTTTCAGGCAGACATTTTGCTGCTTTTCCCTGCTGGAAAACCTCTCACCTTACTCCATGGAGTTTCTACAGCCTGAGGCTCTTTAAGAGAATCAGATTAATTGGCCTATAGGCAGAGGCAGATCTCAGAGTGCTTTGAGTCTTTGCCTGATCTGCTTCTGAACCTGGGCCCTGGAAAAGCAGACTCTGGTGTGCATCTTGGTTCTGCCCAACCACACCCAGGCCCAGTAGAAGAGACCACACGCCGAGGGTTGTTGATGGCTCAAACAGGGTACTCAGGCCAGTCACAAATTGTATCTGACATGGGCTTGCACCAGAGACCCTCCAAAAAGACTGAGAGTCCTAGCAGATCTACCTAATACATAGAAAAAAACCACAAACTGGTAGCCAAAATGGGGAGACAAAAAACAAGCCCCAAATGAAAGAACAAGAGAAGTCTCCAGAAAGAGCTAAATGAAATGGAGATAAGTAATCTACCAGATACAATGTTCAGAATACTGGTTGTAAGGATGCTTAACAGCATGAAAAAAGATATGGAAACTATGAAGGAAACTAAGAATGACATAGCAGAAATAAAGAATACATTGGAAGGAATAAAAAGCAGATTATATGAAACTGAGGATCAGAGCAGCAAATTAGAAGACAGGTAGAAAAAACACACACAATCAGAGATCGAAAAAGAAAAAACAGTTGAAAAACAGGAGGATAGTTTAAGGGAGCTGTGTGACAACAAGAAACATAACAATATTCACATCATAGGACTGCCAGAGGAGGTTGAAAATAAGCAAGGGTTAGAGAACCTGTTTGAAGACATAATGGCATTAAACTTCCCTAACCTGATGAAGGAAAATGTCACACAAGTTCAGGAGGTACATAGAGTCCCAAGCGAGAAAAATCCAAAGAGGCCCACGCACAGACATATCATAATTAAAGTGCCAAGAATTCAAAACAAAGAGAGAATATTAAAGGCAGCAAGAGAAAAGCAATCTGTTACCTATAAAGGAGCTCCCATAAGGCTGTCAGCAGACTTCTCATCAAAAACTCTACAGGCCAGAAGGGAATGGCATGAAGTACTCAATGTAATGCAAAAGAAGGATCTGAAACCAAGACTACTCTATCCAGCATGACTATCATTCAAGATAAATGATGAAATAAAGAACTTCCCAGACTGCCCGGCCAGGAGTGGCTCAGCAGTTGAGTGTCGACCTAGGATCCAGGCGATCAGGGTTCGATTCCCGGTCAGGGCACATGCCCGGGTTGTGGGCTCGATCAGTGGCTCTCTCATCATTGATGTTTCTGTCTCTCTCTCTCCCTCACCTTTCCTCTCTCTGAAATCAAT